GTGTTAGTGTGTTTTAAGCCAAGTAATCACAGACTTGCAGTGATGACCCAAAGAAGTCAATATATGTATAACTTCACCAGGAAACATCATTATGGATTGTATATACATAGAGTGCCATTGACTACTTGGATGGACAGCAGTAATGGTATTAAGCAGAGCTGACTTCATATCTCTCTTAAAACTCATACAGGCTTAAAGAAAATTACATAAACTCTGAGTATTATTACATCATTACATCTATTACATCAGAATATTAGATTGTAGTTGCTAATAATGGGTGGCTAGTGAAAATGACACCAAAGATGTTTTTATGCCATGTGTCACTTCTCTGTTAGCATGAACAGGTAAGTGTTGCTCCTACATCCCTCACACCTCAGTGCTGTTTTCAGGCTAATCACAGAACCAGAGCATGGGTCAGGCTGGAAGGGCCCATAGGAAGTCATCTGGTCCTCCCTGCCCAAGCAGGGCTATCCTAGACCACATGGTACAGGATTGCACCCAGATGGATTTTTAACATCTCCAGTGAGGGATACTCCACAACCTCTCTGGGAAATCAGAAAGCATTTCTTCCTCATGTTCAGGTGGAACTTCCTGGGCATCAGTTTCTGCCCATTGCCTCTTGTCCTGTTGCTTGGAACTGCCGAGCAGAGCCCGGTCTCTGCTGTGACCCCTCCTTGCAGTCACTGACATTGATGAGGTCCCCTCTCACTTGTCTCCTCTTGAGGCTGAACAGGCCCAGCTCCCCCAGCCTGTCCTCAAAAGTTATCCCTTGGTAACTTTGTAGTCCTGAGCTGGATGTGCTGCCCGGGCTCCATGTCCTTCTTGTCCTGAGGAGCCCTGAACTGGGCACAGCTCTCCAGATGTGCCTCACCAGGGCTGAGCAGAGTGGGCAGGATGGCCTCCCGGACCTGCTGGCACTGCTCTTCCTAACGCAGCCCAGGATACCACCAACCTTCTTGGCCACAACAGCATACTGCTGGCTCATGGACGGCTTGCTTTAGAAATTACCATCACTCTATTGTGTTTTATGCCTTAAGAGTGCAATGGATATGATCTTTTAAATGTTCTATCCCTGGAAGTCACTGTCTTCAGACACCTCTGAGTTTCACTCTACTGGTGACTGGCAGATACTCCTGGACCTTGGAGAAAAATTAGAGGTTTGGTTTGGTTTGTACTACAGCTTTATTTGGAACCTACAAAAGCGGAGAAAGATTTTTGTTGCTCTTTTGGAGTGTCAATGGCCATTTTGTGGTTTTGAATTATTTTTCTAGCCTCTGTCCTTTTGAATGCTCTCCTGCACTAGAGATATTAGACAGATGCCAAATACCTCTGCCCTAAGTTGTATGTATTCCCTACAATGGCAAGCTTTCAAGTTTGTTTTTTTGTTTTTTTTTAGTTTTCCTTAAGACTTCTAGTGTGTGTTTATATGTCACATGAACACGTTTAGAAAAATATGTAAAGAGAGCTGGGGAGAGAACAGGGTGTCCTGATGCTTACTGAAATATTTCTAACAGCTTTACTAATAGGTGGGGAGTTATTTCTGGCATAAAATGAAAGATATCTGCTTAGTCTAAAAAAGGCAAAACGCATTTATGAGCAGAACTTGTCTGACCTATGCATTTCCTCTCAGTCACTGTTCACACATTACTGAAACACATTCACTGCGTTGCTTCTTATTTTCCTGTGTTACATTTTGGGCCAGTCTTGTCACATAAGTTTTCTAATCATGTACTTCCATTAATTTAATTTCTTTCACTTCAGTTACACCTCTGTAAATATTTTCAGGTTTCCAAATAACATAAAAGTTATTTGTGTTTCTTTTTTACTTAATCAGCTCAGTACAATATAACTGAGCTGAGCTGAACTTGGGACAAAACTAGAAATGACATGAACCAGTTTTTTAGACTGAAAGCAACTGGAAAGCCATATTCTGGATTCATTTGAGCCATGACCATTACTTTCAAGGCCAACTGTTCTATTGCTCATGAAATTACTTGTAAAGCTCTCCAGGAAGTTTCTTCATGGCTGTGTGTCTCTGCTCCAGCCAAAACCAGCACAGGGGGTACATCCCCTGTAGAGGGATCAAAGCATGCATACAGACACCTTTGCAATAACACTTAAGGCACCTGCATGCCAACATATTGTCAATCTTTACAAATTTAGGGATCAATTCTATGGATTCACCTTGACTTTCCAACACCTGATTTTCAGTATTTTAATAAATGGAATGACCTCAGGCTATGATCAAGCTTTTCCTCACTGAAATCAGCAATTGCTGCCATAACTGTACTGAAGTCACCAGGTAAATCAATGGTCAAATTGACTTAAGAAAATAGGAATTTAAGAGCCACTAACAACAACAACAACAACAACAACAACAGAATAAATAACCGTACTTTCAGACTTCTTGTTCAATTCAGTTGATGCTGTCAAGCCAAACATACTAACTTTCTTGAACATTGTGTTTTTAGTTCGTGGATGACTTTTCAATTCACTGTTACCAAGCCTATGAAAACAGTCTGAGGCTTAAAAAGGCAGTCAAGAATCGTGCTAATTGACATGACACTGAGAAGAACCCTGTGGTAAGAATAAACTGTAAGCAGAATTGTCAGCATAAATATCCTGCAACTGGCTAATAACCTCTCCCTTTCCTGATCCACCTGGGAGGGATAACAGAGACCTTTCACTACAAGGTTCAGGACAAAAACCCCACCAGAATAAATCAAATTGTGATTAAGTCTTTAAACTGTGATGAAGGGGAAGGCAGCAAACATGGCTGCTGATATTCCAGATGGAAGAGCTAGAAAGACACCTCAAGAAGCAGCACTTCTTAGCCAATGTTGCATCACTTGACAGAATGACAGTGTCTTACCATATTATAGTGTATTTTGGACTATAGTGATAATTTCTGTATGCCTTGGAAAATTCTTGCTGAGTAAAATCATAGAACCATGGAATGGTGTGGCTTAAAAGGAACCTTGAAGATCATCTAGCTCCAAACCTCCTGCCATGGTTCCAGAAAAACTTCCTCATATAAATCTCCTGCTGAAAAGCATTAGCATGGTGTCCCATCTGCTTTACCAAAGCAGAAGTAAGAAAGTATAAGCTTTTATGGTAAAAAATCTATTCCTAACTGTATGTAAGTTTTATTCAAGGACAGACTCACATGAAAAGCAATCTTGTACAGTTTCCACACTGAAAACTCATCTGGAAGTCTCCCTTCAAGATAAATTATTTTATTAAGAGGCAGGAAGTATCATGTGGATTTAAAGTTCCCTTCCACTCCCTCCTATACATAGAAAAAAATATGGACTTAATTTTTCATAAAATACTGCTTGTTTTCTGTGCTTGAAATCAATAACACAAGATTAATACAGACTTCCTAAATGAGAAAGAAAACCCCACCCACTATGAATGAATAATCCATAGGAGCTGTTTAGAGCAGGGTGAATACATAAAACCTAAATTTTGTGAATATTCTTTCAATTTTATACCAAACCCGTTTCTACTACTTTCAGACGTGATTTTATTTTATGTATTGCGCTGGGGTGGAAGAATACCCGTTTTTGCGGACTTGATGATTCGTTCCAAGTTATATTATGGTCATTACTTGTTCTGGACTAGATCCCCAAGCCAGTAACTTGGATGAGCGCCCACTGCTAGGGACTGTACTACCCGAGCCCTCTCCCGAAGCCCTTAGGTCTGCGAGACAGTTTTGCGGGAGAATGAAGGGAGAGGAGCGCAATTAACACCGCGGTGGTTACAGAGATCCTCCTTTTACTGTTTCTATGGGCACGCACACCCGTCGACAGGTCGGAGGGGGAGGCTGGCAGGGACGGCACCGGCCGAGGTGCGGCTGCCGGGCTGTCCTGCCGGGAACGGGAACGGCGGGGCAGAGCCCTGCCCTGCTCCCGGCCGGCCAGGAGCGCGGCTGCCGCGGCAGAGGCGCGGGGGCCGGCGGCGGAAGAGCCGCAGCCCCGGCAGCGCAGCCCGGCCGCTCCCGGGAAGGGCGGCACGGGCCGGCGTTCCCGCCGGGGACACGGAGGGCAGCGGGCCCCGCCGGCCGCAGCCGCCCTTCTCCTCCGCCCCGCCGCCGCCGGCCTTGCGCAACACGGCGCTGCCCGCTTCCTCCCGGTGCGGCCGGGGAGCCGCCCCGCCGCCCGCGGAACTCCTCTTGGCATTTCCCCGTTGCTCGGGAGGCGGCGGCAGCCTGTGCCCGGGGCCCGGGCGGGCGGAGGCGAGCGCCGGCGGCAGGGCCGTGACCATCGCGCCCGCCGCCGCCTCCCGGGGCGCCCGCACGGCTCTGTGCATCCGCCTCTTCCTCCCCCCGCGCCGCCTCCGCCGGGGGAGCCGGCGGGGGCCGTACGTGCCGGGCCGGGAGCGAGGGGAGGGTCTGCGGCTCGGCGTCGCTGCAGCAAGCGCCGGCCCCGCCGCGCCGCCAGGGACCGAGTGCGGGTGCCGCCGCCGGCTCTCCGCGCTGTGCTGCTGCCGCTGCTGCGCGGCGATCGCCGCTGCTGGCGGGAGGGGCAGGGATGTGAGCGGCAGCGGCCGGGTCGGCTTGGCCCCCCCGCCCTCTTTTTTTTTTTTTTCTTCCTCCTTTTTTTTTTTTTTCCTTTTTCTCTCGCCTCCAAAAAAAGACCAAACCAGCCAACCAACCCCAAAAAACCCAGAGGGCGTGGGGGGGGGGGGGGGTGGGGGGGTGGGGGGATCCCGTGTCGCCGCCGCCACCCTCCGTTGGATCCATTGTGAGGAAATTGCCATTCGCCGGCAGCGGCGGCACATCTGGGCGGGCGCATCTGGGCAAACAACATCGGCTCCCGCCGACTGCCTCCAACGTCCTCCAACCGGCCGAACGGATCTCACCGTGCCGCCGGAGAGGCTCCTGCTCGTCAGCCCCGGGCTCCTTCTTTCGGGCTGAATCTTAAAAAAACCCTGGCAGCGCGGGGGGTGGGGTGGGGTGGAAATAAAGGCTGCTATTTTTTTCCCCTGGGATTTATTTCATGGGGATGTGTTCAAGACAAGAGAGGATTCAGAAGGATATTGACGTTGTGATCCAAAAGTGCAAGGCGGAAAAGGACTGCCTGTTTGCAGGTGAGTTTGTCCCCGGGCGCCAGGTTGGCGGCGCGGAGGCTCCCGTCGCCGCCGCCGCGCCCGCCCCGGACCGCGCTCCCGCCGTGCCCGTGCCCTTCGCCGCCGTTCCCGGCCGCGGGGCCGCTCTCAGATCCCGTCTTCCTCCTCTCCTTCCGAGGGCATATGAGGGCAGAGGAGACCGGGCGCCGGCTGGGAAGGGGCGGGCGGGGTGGGGGGCGGCATCCCGAGGCGGGGAGCGGAGCGGCGGCCGCACGCAGCAGCCCCGGAGCGTTGGGGCGAGCCCGAGCCCGGCGCAGCCCGCGCGGTTCCGCTACGCGGCTGCTCCCGGGCGGCCGCCCCCGGTGCCCGGCCCCAGGCCGGGGGCACACCCAGGCGCACACGGGGCCCGGTCGGGTCCAGCGGCTCCCCGGGGATCGGCGGTGCCGGTGCGGTGCCGGCGGCCGTGAGCCGTCGCAGGAGCCCGGCTGTCGGCTGCCTGTTGCCGTGTGTGACAATGGAATTCCCTGCCGTTGCCATAGCACCGGGCACTTGTTGCGAGGGGCTGGGGGGAGATGCTGCATTTCCTCTGGCTCACCCCGACTCCCTCTCCACCGCCCCCGTGTCGGGAGCTGAATGCTGCTCCGTAAAGCCTCGGCTACTTCAGCCGAAATAAAGACAAGTTGTAATAAAGCAGCTCTTTGTCTTTCAGATTTCAGGTACTCAGACTCCACCTTTACCTTCACCTATATTGGAGGCTCCAAAAGGTACTTTTTTAACAGTAATGACTCCATTTCCTGGTGGCAGTAAAATGCAGTGGTTCAATAACGTGGCAGGTTTTTTTGTTTCCTTATCTTTTGCAAGGATGATTAAATCATCAGCCTTCGTGCAAACGTAAAGTGAGGAAGAGGTGTGGAGGGAGGTGATGAGAAAGGTGATCCTAGTTGTCAAAGGCTCCTTCCTTAGAGTCCTGCTCTGTGAAGCTTTTTATCTTTGTTTTTTTCCTCAATTTATGTAGAGATACAGAATTCCTGCCAGATGTAAACCTAACAGAAACATTGCAAAGGCATCAATGTATGGTGTAAAGTTAATTCGTGTTAAAAAACTGGGAAAAGTTAAGATTGTAATAACAAATAGGCCAAATTTCACATCAGCCGCTTACTTCAGTGCATGAGAGCCATATTTGGTCCCATAGCAGATGCAAGGCTGTCTGCAGTTGACCAAATTAAATTCCTGAGACATTAAATGAAATGTCAGTATTACCTAGAAGGCTAAAAAAATGTTCTATTGAATGTTTTAAATAGTATTTTTAAGTGGATCCCAGCTTGTGGTCATAAATTGGATTGTACGTGTACACATTTTCAAAATATATTTCAGCATTCATTTGTTGTACGTGTCAGTTTTCAAAAGGAAATATATGTAGAAACTTGAGCACATTTTTCTGCTTTCCCTGATTGTTAGTTATAAGGTGCTAAAAGAAAATTGAATGGTAAGTTGGTCTCTTTTAGCTAGATTTTTAAAATTTGATGTAGCAAGAAGTTTTGCTTTTATTTTGGTTTTCTTTTTTTTAGATAATTCAGTTTCTCTCTACCTTTGTCAGTTATTTTTCTTTTGCAGGGTTCATCACATTAAAGTACTGGATTCTTTTGTATTCTTTGCAAGTGAGCCTGTCAGTGGAGGCAGCACTCCCACAGCCATCAATGCTCCCTCTGTGCATACTTTGGGATCTGGCTGTAGGACCAGACTCCCAGATGGTCCCCAGGCTCTCAGGGCTGCTCAGAAAAATGTTTTCCCACCTCACTACCCTACCACTTCCTACTAAAGGAAAGGACAACTTCCTTAATTTTCAGTGAAGTAGAATATTTCACCCAGTATCTGAGAACCAATATATTTTTGGGTTGGTCATATTATACCTTTGCCTTTAGTCTTTTAATATATGCTTTGTTTTGGTGTGGTTTTAAGACAGTTTTGAAAGGATTGATACTGAAACACAGGCCTCACGTGACATAAGCACCTTAGCATAGGCATGAATTCACAAATCCTGAGAGGTGTGGCTGCTCACTTTTGCAAGCAGGGCCTAGCTCTGGTGGGCTACGGTGATAAGGAGGGAGAGGCATGTTAATTGTCATGAAAGGCAAGAAAAATGCGGAATCATAAGTTCATAAGTTTTGTTTTATAGAAAAGAGAAGAACGTAATCAATAAAGCACTGTCATAGCAAAGCATAGTATCAGTTGGATAAATGCGATGAATATGACAGGAACTATCTACCATGTTTGTAACCCTATGATAATGAAACCACAAGTTGTGTAAGATCTCAGCCCCTAAAACTGTACCTTTCATATAAGGAAACAAAAAAGGGTGGATGCCAGAATTGTAAAAGTATAAAAGCCTGTGTAAAATAAACCACAGTCAGACATGCATATGGAGGTGCTAACCCCTGCATGTTCTCTTGGCATCAATAAAGATGTGTGCTTTTCTTTACAGTATCCGCTGTGGAGTAGATTCCTTCAAATCAATACAGTAAAAACTATTTAACAGAGACACCATTTATCATTTAACTAAAATGAATGAATTTGAAAGTTGCTTTCAACTGTTCTCTAAACCAAAGATCATAGAAGAAAACAGGAAGTTAAACCTGTCTATTGTTTCCATTTTCTGAGCTGAATAAAGTGAAAAGCCTAAGGGCATAACTGATGGCAAACAAACTGGTTTATCAATGTTGAAATAAAGTGTTGGCACTTGCTCAATGAGAAACGGAAGAGGGCCTTATATTCCTCAGCCTTGAATTTAAACAGGGGTCAGCATTTGCTTAGGAAATTGATGACTGAAAAACAGCCTCAGGACCTTGATGATTCAAACAGAACTGAGAAACAATCGTAATGCTTACAGAAATTGGTGGAAGTGGGTTGTTACTTAGAGCACACTCAAATTCCACTTTCCTTTAACATTTTAAGCACATTAAGAAAGCATCCTTTTAGAAGAGGGTTTTGTGTTCTCTGTGTTCCCTCCTTGTTTGTGTTGTGATTTAGGAAGTTGTTCTGTGGTATTCCTGGTGTACAGTGGTGTGCTGAGTGGCAGGCTTACGCCAGTAAGCTCTCATACGTATAAAGTGCGTAAAATGAAAGCTGTTCAGAAAAAAACTTCAGCTTTGTACATCAAAGGTGTGTGAGTGGTTTCTTCTTAGAGGAGGCTCTCGTGGAGCAGCAGCAGCTCTACTGCAACGTGTGCAGCATTTGGGCAAGTCTCCAGTAAGGGTCAACAGCAGTGACTTATACATGGTGACAGTTCAGGAGAGCGCAAGGTCATCCTAGGACCCTCTTTCTGGCCTTTGGGTATGAGCTTTTTCTGCTGACACTGCTGCAGCTGTGCTCTTCCTGAGTGGTAACACCATTTTCTGGTTATTGCACTCAGGAGTTGTCCCAAAATGATAGAGCCTCTTTTAGATCATGGTCATCAGCCAGTGGGCCCTGTTTCAGATACTCAGCCCAATGACTTTTGTTTTTCCAGTCCACAGGAGCCACAAGCATTAGAGTAATGGGCAGAGCAGTGGATGTTCACTGAATGGATATTCAAACCAAGAAAAGGTCTGAATGAATAAGAGTAGAAGTGGTGTGTAAGAAAGATTAAAGTATTTTAGTACTCATTATTAGCCATGCCTGTAACTAAGAATTTTTCACGCTTTGTTTCCTTTAAATATTTTTTTTTAGGTCAGTGTGTAATACAGCCTTAGTTTAGCCATGGTGGTTAGTTACATGGAAGAGCAGAAATCCTTGAAAAAAGGCAATTTGTTTGAGAAGCAGGATTCTTTGGCAAATGACAATACTAGCAAGTTAAATATCTCTCTGGGTTTTCCTCAGCATACTGTAGTTGCCTCTAGTGCCCATTATGTTTGTTTATCAGTGATCTTAAATTTATAAACCCAGAGCTAGATTAACAGTACATCAGGGTAAGTCCGTGTAAGTCAGTCTAGACTACCAGTATTATTTCAGTTATTATGAGGACCTAAGATTTATTTATGCTTTTTTCCTTCAAACTGCTAAGTTTATCTGTGTGAGATTTTTTCTTGGGACCAGCTTCTCAGGTTTTATCTGATTTTCCCCTTGTTGCTTGGATTGATTGAATAGCCTCTTCCTGCACTTTTGAAATATTAAGGTAGTACATAAGCATGCTGCAGATCCATCCAAATAGATAAGTCTGTACAGAGGACATTTATTATTGCTCATGTGGATTTAACCTGTAATCCCATAGTAAATTGGTAGTAATTCAGACAATCCTTTTAGAGTGTATTCCTTAATGCACTGTGTTCACGCTTCCAAATTATTAGATCTGTTTGTCACTACAGAGATGTGACCTGTTTCAGGAAGGTTGTAATTAGCAATTTATTAGTAAAAGCATGTCTTCATGCATAATGTGGGCACTAAGTAGAGGGCAAATTGTTTATCAATTTAATATGTTTTTATTTCATTGTCAGAAAGCAGTAAGTAGGTTGAGTTCTTATAAAAAGAGGTGTTCAGCCAGGTGCTGTGACTGTGCAAGATTTACTCTCCTTTAACTATATCAAGAAGAAAATTTAAAAATTAGTAATTTTTTTTCTGCAGGATCTAAACCAGATATTAAATTGTGAATGTGTGGAGTTCTCAATTTTAAAAGAATCTCTAGTTTCCTTTTTCTGTCCCTGTATGAAACACTGTTCCTCCAGAAACCAAGCAGACTGAACAGATCTGCTGATCTGTCATCTTTCAGATAAAAATGCATACTGCCCTGAAGTTGTTTTCAGTTTATATGTCATTTGACATGCTTTACATAGAAACAGTGCTTGGTTGTCCTGAAAAAAGATATTTTCTCTTTAGTATTTTTTCCACCCTGCTCTTTTTTTTTCCCTGAGGCTAAACAAGGACATCATATCAGTCCTGAAATACTTCTTCATTCAAATACGTTCTTAACTCTCATTGGCAGTGAAGGACAATGACGATAAGGTTGTGCATGAGAACTAATAATGAGATCTAATACTGCAGCATATTGCAACTAGGTAACACCTGAACATACAGATTAATTTTGCCAGCAAAGTACTCATCTCCTATTCCTGCAGTGGACTTAGGTTCTGCCTTCTGTGCTTCAGCACAGTGATTGTAACAGTAGCAATTCTGAAAAAGCAAGGAAATTTTGGTCCGGAGTACTTGTTTATTTTTGCTTAAAATAATGACAGTTTGTTGTCTTACGTGGTTTTCATTTTGAATATTTGGCTTTTTGTGTTTTATTCAGGAAGTTATTGTAGTATCAGACGCTCTAATGTAAAATGAAGAGTTACTTTCTATTTTGCTGTAGTAGTGAAGCATTTCACATATAGGGAGCTGTGCCACTGAAAGAGTGACTACCGTTGCTTGGAACTATATAGCTAGAGATGAAACCACTATCTGCAGTTCTAGCACATTATGTCCACAAGGTGTTTAGACCACTTGAAAATAAATAGGTACAGATAACCTTTTTCTCCCCTTTTATGGTATACTCTATTGATTCTTCTGTGGATTTATAAAGCTGCCTACATGAGAGATTCCATTTGGTGAAGAATTTTGAGATTCTGGTGTAATTCTGATAACACGCAAAGTTGTAAAGAAAAACATGTTTGAGTGAATGATACTTATCTTGATATTGATGTTCACTTTATGTAAAATACAAGAAAAAAGAGAAAACTGAAAAACAGTTTTTAAACTAAAACATAAAATTATGTCCATCAGAAAATCCCAAAATGAAGCACATTTGTTTGGT